CTATGCTGCGTGGTTCTTTTCCTTCTTTCCCTTCTTTTCCTTCGGTTTCTTCTTCTTCTTCCTTCTTCTTCTTCTTCTTCTTCTTCTTCTTCTTCTTCTTCTTCTTCTTCTGTCCAATGTCGATCTTCTCTTTTGCATTACGGTTCTACGTGTGGTTCACTGGGTTGGCTGACGTTGACGATCGTTCTACGCGTGTTGTATATACAAAACACGAATTAGGGCCGTTCAATCCAATCCTCTTTGCTAGTGGGACATCGCCCCAGGTACCTTTTTTTTTTTCTCCAAAACAACCCAGTAGAATGCTAGGGGTGCTGATAAAAGCAGACACCACTAGCAATCCCCAGGAGGCTCCATCTATTGGTGGGGAGCAACACCTGCTGGAAAGCGGGTCCTGCGTCCCAAAGTACATCGGAGCTGTTTGATTTGTGAAATGGATTTGTGATGGAGGCAGTCAGCACTACTCAGCACTCTGAGCTGCTTGCCTATCTGACAGCCTACTACTGGCGAACCTTTGACATTCCATACATTACGTCTTAACTTTATGTCACATTCCATACATTACGTCTTAACTTTATGTCACTGTGGTTATTGGCTGCCTACATGGTGGCTCTCGGTGGGAGCTAGTATCCTCTGGACTCTTATCTGTTGTCTGAATTGCTGGAAGCTGATCCCATGAACCCATGGTGTACTGTTTGTTGACACTCATCCAGCATATCGCTTGTTGTCTTCCAATATTGATGCTAGCCCCACTACGGTAACATGTTTTCTACCAGTGCATGTAGGCAATACAAACCTACCCGTTCCCCAACCCCCACCCTTGGAACTTGATATGTTGAATGAGTAGCCTTAGCTATCTACTGAGACGACAGCCCTGCCGATGTTTACCTACTGAAAAGACAGCCCTGCAGATGTTCGTGAGAGTGTCCTGGCTGCCAACAGAGTCAACAAAGTCCTGTGTTTTTGTACTTGTAGCGCGAGCCCTTGCAATTGTAACCAATTGGCATTTGTGCTTTCTCAAACGTGCATTGATCTGGTCTCATTTTGTCCGATCTTCCCCTCTGATCAAGTATTCTGCGAACGAGCTTCCCTTGGCCGGCGGGGAGGGAGGAGAGAGGGGAGGGTTGGGGAGGAGGGGGGGGGGATTTGTGGGGTCTGGGGGGGAGTGGGAGTCTTCAGAAGGGGGGAAGTAGGGTAGGAAGAGGAGAGGGGGCGGGGGGGTTAGCCGGATCTGGAATGGTGCACCCAGGGTCTGGGAGGAGAACAAAGTTTGTTGGCCTGTGAACAACTTGAAAGTGTCGTCTCGGCAGTCTCTCCCATTGGTTTTCAGTCGAAAACCAGGGGCGGGACTCGGAGAAGCTTCGTTTTGTTGGAATTATTGATTTTTTTTTTTTTCTTCTAATTATTGAGTTTTTATTTGCTGTCAAAATTGGTCAAATCATCGGCCTTCTGGCTAAGATCAAGTGTAGTATCTGTTCCGATCAGTTTAATATCTGATCCGCCGTGGTCCATCGGGAAAAAAAAAAAAAAAAAAAAAAAGAAACGGCTCCCAGATGGTTACTTTCCAGGTAGTGGACTGTGAGGACCCTGGCCGGCTCGATTTTGTTTTGAGAAAACTACCGTCTTCACCCAGAATAGAACGCAGCCTCGGTAATTATAGCCGTACCGTATCTGGGCTGAAAGTTGTGCCAAATACAGCTCTAATGACCGGGCGTTCTATTCGGGTGAATCCGGTAGGGGCCCGTCATGGTTTTTGAGTTTTCCAAAGAGGACCAAAATGCATTCCTGGTTTGAGTTTCAAAATGCATTCCGCTTCCTGGTTCGAGAATAGAACGCAGCCTCGGTAATTATCGCCGTATCTGGGCTGAAAGTTGTGCCAAATACAGCTCTAATGACCGGGCGTTCTATTCGGGTGAAGATGGTAGGGCCCCGTCATGGTTTTTGAGTTTTCCAAAGAGGACCAAAATGCATTCCTGGTTCGAGTTTCGAAACGCATTCCGCTTCCTGAATCGAGAATAGAACGCAGCCTTGGTAATTATCGCCGTATCTGGGCTGAAAGTTGTGCCAAATACAGCTCTAATGACCCGGCGTTCTATTCGGGTGAAGACGGTAGGGCTCCGTCATGGTTTTTGAGTTTTCCAAAGAGGACCAAAATGCATTCCTGGTCCAAGTTTCAAAATGCATTCCGCTTCCTGGTTCGGTTCTGCAGTCTGAAGTGAACCGACTCAACCGAGTACTCATCGACTTCAATCTCGGATCGGATACATCGATGAACATTCACATGAGAGTTCACACACGAGAAGAAGCCAAAACGAGATACAATCCACACTCGAAGACGTCGTCACCAATATTATTGCCAATATATATAATACCAGAACGTTTGTCCCTAGCGGCTCTGCCGAACACACACTGTCAGCCTGGGCTAGTCTCAACCAAGTACCGGCTATGGCTCTTCTCTCTCTCTCTCTCTCTCTCTCTCTCTCTCTCTCTCTCTCTCTCTCTCTCTGTGTCCAACCCTGAATCGGTACCCTGGATACACCCACTCAGGCATCTTGTATATGGCCGCCGTCTTCCTGCTCTACCACTAGCCTAACTATGGACTCTCTCTCAGAGGCGC